GACGAAAGCTGCTAAGCACTTCCCACACACAACACCACTTCACTTTGTCTCCCCAGGTTGTCGCATGCAAAGAAGTTCACAATGGATCGCCGAACCTACGAAAGTCCCATGGAATGGGAATACCAGGATCGAGGTCCGCTAGATGCGACCAGCCCATTTTCCCACGTTGCGAAAAGCAGCAATCAGAACAGTGAGCTCACCTCCCATCGCGTTGTCCCCACGATCGTCATATGTCATACGCTGGCCTCTACGTCGAATTGCCTACTGACCTTCCTGCTTTTGCACAGTCTTCAACTCACCAAACAAATTCGCCACAAGCTCCAAGCCCAACCCATTCTCTAGCCCCTCCAAGCCGAACCTCTTCGCAAACACCCCGTCAAAGCCGCTTCCAGCCCTCCCACAGACATCTCTCTTCTCGCCTAGGATCCAGAGTAGCAATACCGCGCCACCATTCCGAAACCCTGCCTTCACTACCCCGCGCAAACCGTTCGACGAGAGCGCCTTTTCGGAAGCTTCTGGCGCAGAGACCAGTCCCGCCTTGACGGAAAATTCGGAATTTCCAGACGACACACCCGACGTTGATAGATTCGGCGACATGAACATGGGAACCATCACGCCGTCCAAGGTCAACAAGAACCTTCGCTACGGCAAGGCTGGCCTTCAGTCATTGAAGCGCCATGTACCCGGCAAGGGCGAGATCCCCCGAAGTGGACGAGACTACCCCGCTATAAGGAAGCGGAAGCGACACAACATGGACCGGGATGTCGGCAGCGTGCGATTTCACGGATCACGGGATTGGGATGGATCGGAAGAGGACTCGGACGACAGTGGATCCCGCTCGTCAGGTGCGCGTGGTGGCAAGGGCAGCAGAAAGAGGAAGAATGGTCGCAGCTGGATCAGCAACCTCTTCCACACATTGGAGGAACACCCGAATGCGCCCGAGAATCTCTACCGATGGATGCAACTTCTGATCAACTGCGCTATTGTATCGGGCTTTGTGTTCATCTGCTGGACCATGTTTGATACTGTGCGGTCGGATATTCGAAACGCCAACGATGCAGCTCGTTTGGACATTGAGAATAGGATCACTCAGTGCCGGACTGAATACACTCTCAACGAGTGTATCAAGAAGGACCGGCCCGCTCTGAAGGCCATGTGCGACGAGTGGGCCGAGTGTATGATCCAGGACTCGTCGGCCATCATGAGAGTTCGGGTCACAGTTAAGCAAATCGCCGAAATTCTCAACGAGTTTGCTGGTGCCATGCAGATGAAAGCTTGGGTAAGTTACATCTCGCGTCCACATCTTATGACATCTCAGCTAACAAATACAGCTTTTCTTCTTTGGTGTCGTTTTCCTTAGCATCGTTGCCAACAATCTTGCTCTGGGTCGTATGGCGAACAATGCCGGCCCAAGCCGCCCTACCCCATCACACCGCGCTGCTTCTGGCATGGCTCCCGAGCCATCGGTGATTCCGGAACCCTCTCAGGCCTACATGTGGGTTCCCGTCCAGACGCCATCGCATCGTCGACACCTGCAGTACGACAACGACGACACCGATACCGACGGTGCATCGCCGCCAAAGATGAAGGCGATCATGCCGCCTCGAACCCCTTCAGGACGCCGCAGCCCAAGCAAGGGTGACCGCGACCGTCTGCGAAGCCCAACGAAGTATGGAGGCGGAGGCCTGAGCCCCATGAAGGGTTACTGAGGAAGTAGAAGCGGGCTTGCAAGGAGACTCTCAAGGATATTGTATCCTACGCAGGAGTGAGTACGAACAGAGAAACAGAGGTACACAATGCATGGGATTGGAGTTGCAAGGTTTAATTGTATAAAGTACATATTCAGGAACAAGGTTTTGGGGGCCAGATGCGGCGTCATCTGGAGGCTCGGGACGAGATGGAGTGGGCTTCGGCTACACCTCCACTGGCGGATCAGGATATGTTGTTTTGCAGACACACAGAGACTCGCAGGAACCTCATCCCTGCGACTACTCACAATACCGAAAAGTTCATTTGTCCGTATCTTTAATCGTAAGCTGAGCGATACAACCATCGTCTGGCTACAACCGCATCTCTTACACTGGACCTTAAGCTTCAGGTGCCTTAGGTAAGATACCTTACCTTAAGGTAGGTACGGATACGAGAATCAGTCAGTGCCACAGTGGGCTTGCTCTTATCGATAATCGGCCTAGGCCCAGTTCGACTTTAATGACGTCAAAGGAACGGCCCTTGACGGAGAATTCGGCCCTGTCAAAATGTGGTCTCCACCTCCAACGAATGGGACCATTCGAATTGGGGTTTCCTGAATCGCGGCATCGCATTCTACTACCGATCCAGCGCTGGAACGGAGGAAACCCGAACAGCTCCTGAGGCTGAACTGCTGAAGCCTCACAAGACTCCGTAAGGCATTTGTCCTTAGCAGATCCCAACAGAACTTTGCCTGCCTGTCTAATAGCAACCCGCCTTGTTTAACCCAGACTCATATACCTAGAGCGCAACCAGCTGACGCGACGGAGTAGATTCCGTCTTCTCTGGGCTATGATCTATCTTGGCGGCTTGCTGGGGGATGATGTCTAACCCGAAGCATCAGCTATTGTACCCCCAAAGCTGCCCTGCGTGCATGCGTTCGGCAAAGACACTTACTTTGCTGCCAACCGGAACTTGTCTCGAAGGAGAGGGGTCGGGGACCAAACACCTTGGAATGTTAGCCGACGATAGAGCGCGTGGGTGAACGAACGAGCTAAGCGTTGGTCACACAAGCCACGATTTCGCGAGCTTTTGCTGCGGCATGGGTGGGATTTTTGGTCATGGTGTGGCTCATTATTTCTTCCGGAAGTGTAGTGTATATTTCGAAACGCCTCAGCATGGCGCATGTTCGGGCTGGGAGTTGGGTATCGTTCAACTGTTCAGCCCATGTGTGCCTCGGGGCCCGGGTTTTGAAGGCAAGGAGTTCCATGTCTTGTTGTCTCTTTTCAGGCGTAGATATATGTCTACATGAGGTCCCCCGGAGCAAAAGTTTGCAATACCGAAGGCCTCGTTGTCTGTGTCCATTGGCGCGGGGGCAGCAAGAAAAAAACCTAATCCTTCCACAATTAAGGCTCACTCTCCAGTCGGAAGAGACCATCCATCCACAATCCAGCCTCGGGATGCCTGGGTAATCACGATGAAGATGTGCCAGGACACCGTCGTATCAGAGCTCCAACTTGGCAACCACCTCAGGTACCTCTGCTCTAGCGGGCAAGGAAAACCCCTGACGATGTGAGGGTCGCCGACCAGGGTTTTTGCAAGAACGCGTTATGCTCGATGCCCCATAATCGCAGTACAGCATCGCAAAGTGAACTATCTGGCGGAGGAAAAGTTCCAGCCCGGCCTTTCGAAATTCGATCGTGATATCTGTCTCGACGAACCACTCGTGCCCTCAAGAGCCTTGGAGTTGCCTATAGTTTGTGCCTCGTAGGTACCTGGGACATCCAAACTTCACTTAAACGTAGGTCCTTATGCGATAAGATGGTCTCTTGATGGAAGAACTGCACTGGTTTCCAGAATAGTCGACTGCCGGCTTGGAGCAACCAAATCAGGACGACCTACGGCTCTTAGCGGCAGCAGGCTAGGCTAGGTGCCTTGGTTCGTTGGATCGTCAGTTACGCACAGAAAACGGAGCGAGATAAACGGGCGCCTTATCCGTACCGTGAACTGAGAACCTGCAAGAAAAAGAAAGAAAAAACACGGCTTTGCTGGCGCTCGGACTCGGGGGGCAGGGAAGACGGGCAGATTTCTAGCTGATGGGATTACAGAGTAAGTGGAGATAGTTACCGCTAACAGGTGACGTAGTGCCGCTTATCTGAAAAGAACCATCGCAACTCGCTTGGCTTTCTTGCTCATGAGATGAAATATTCTTTGGATAGTAAATGATATCTGGGACTCGAATTTGGCGAATTCATGTACTACAAATCATGTAGAAATGCGAAATCGAAGAAGTTTGCTTGTCCAAGCCGTAAATCGGCTGCATGAAGCTCAATCTGCAACCCTCCTAGTCGAAGCTGCATACCTTGGGTATCCTTTGGATACTTGCTTACCTCAATGCGTGTGCCACTGTGCCTTGCTTGCCTTTGTCACCGCTAGCCAGTCATTTTTTAGAGAACAGAAAGAAGCGCAGGTACTTAATTCAGCTGAAAAGAAGTCAGTCTCAACTTCTTTCAGGTCTGCCTGAGGCGTCCCAGCCCTGCCTTGGAAGCAAAAAAGTTTCACCTGCCCCTCGCGCCTCGCGGGCATAGTGTGTACGGAGTATGGTACAATTTCAGGTAGCTGGACCTTGCGCGGCTGGAAGCTCGGGAATCTGGGGAAGGAGCTGCCCTGTCACGTATCCGTACCTACCTCCTTCCCAAGAACCAAGGAGGCAGGACCAAGGCCAAGGTACCTTACCTTCCGTGCTTCCTTCCCTTCCAGTTCCCTCCCGTCTGTATTCGTAAGATACCTCCTCAGAACTTGCTTTACGGAACTGCATCTTGTGTGTCTGTGCTTCATCTACCGTCTCTTTCTCCTTCCGTCGCCTCGTCCGTCTTCTCTCTCTGTAACTGGGGACCCGACTTGGCCGCTCGCTGCCCACTGCCATCCCTTCTCTTCATCACGGGCTGCCCAAATTTTTGCGCTCCCTGCCTCACATCCTTTTCAGTCATTCACCACCCACGCCATTTTCCACCTGCCTAATGACATCCTAACGGCTGGCGCACAATAATTGCAAAGTGTCACATAACCTTTCTCCACAGGATAATCGCGTATCCAGTTGTACACCGAGCGCATGGTTCAATAGCAAGTGCCTTTACCAAAGAGGGGCAGTTCTCGCTGCGAACCTCCCATCCTCCCGTCTCTTGACACCGCTCGTTTGTCTGCTGCTCGACGACAACGATAGCACCGACGGCTAGCAACGGTCAATTCACCTACTGCGCAATCCAGCCGCCTTGGGCCATCTACCGCGATTCTTTCGACCCTTACGCGCGACACCTTCCCTGCGCGCGCCTTCTGGTCAGCTCTCTACCTTGCGCGAACCATCTAGACACTCAACGCCGCTACTGGGTGGCACTGCTGCTAGGCCACACCTGTCCGAACTTTTTTCTCTTCTTCTCTCGGATCCATGACGACCAGCTCCCGCCTTTGAACGGCCTCATTATGTCAATTCACACACAAAGTCCTAAAAGTCGAGTTCGCCCTGTAGACTCGGCAAGAGGCTACAACCAGTCAACCTGAAGCGCTCAACTACTGCCGATATGGAGGAGGCACCCGATAGCCAACAGCAGCCTCAACCAGCCGCCGGCTCTGCTTCCTCCACGGGGGCACCACCTGCAGCCGCTTCCTCTTCTACCTCCGCCCCTCTCAATGCGCCAACGCCGTCAAGCAGCTCCAGTGCTGCTCAACTGTCCAAGAGGAGGAGAGGGCTAGGAGTGGTCACGCCCAATGCCTGTACCGAGTGCCGCAAGAAGCGAGCAAAAGTAAGCCAACGCCAGATGGCCCCCCCGCGCCCACCTACGCTATCTTTGCGCTGACACATTCGCAAATAGTGCGACGGACAAAGGCCTTGCGGTCGTTGTAAGGCTCAGAAGGACGTAGAATGTGTTTACGAGGTCCCAGTCCGCCAATCCAAGGAAAATCTCCGAACCGAGCTCGAGCATTTGCGCCAACGCCAGAAAAGTAGCGACCAGGTCATGGCCGCCCTCGTTCGCTCCGATATGTGGGAGGATGTGTTGCAACGATTGCGCAGTGGTCAATCGCTCGAATCAGTCTCGGACTATATTGGTACTCTGCCTTCGGGAGGCGGTGCGAGGACTTCTTTTGCGCGCCCAAACGAACAGTCCAGCGATGCGAGCGCAGGCCCAGGGACTCGCCCGGGGTTTCCTCCGGCACCCATCAGAACCAGGAACCCGGGAGATCATGGCTCTGTAGCTATGAGCCCGGTTACTGGGCAGTCTGGCTTGCGTCAGGAAATTGATCCGAACAGCCCCTGGCATCCTTCGTCACACAGCCAGAGCACGCGAAGCAACTCTCATCCTGACGCAATGAACTGGAGCGCAGACACCAGTAGGCCGCCACAGGGACTGTTCGATACCTGGGCTGAGTCTACAAGCAACACGGAAGCCTCTGAGGGCGGCTCGAAGCATCAAGGCGTCGAACAGTTGTTAGCGCCGTTAGAATTGCCTGACATGAAGCTAGCCCCCGAAGAATGGACAAACATTACGGAGGACGGCTCGCTGGTACAGCATCTGCTGGCCCTATACTTCTGCTGGGAGTACCCGACCTTTGCTTCTCTGAGTAAGGAGCATTTTCTCAGGGATTTCCAAAACGGCGTCGAACGCTACTGCTCTCCAATACTCGTGAACGCACTCTTGGCTCTTGGGTGTCGGTTTTCCAGCAAACCGAGCACAAGAGCGAATCCCAATGACCCGTACACGTCCGGCGATCACTTCTTCAAAGAGGCGCAAAGCCTATTTTACAAGGAGAAAAACCATCACAACCTCACCACCATCCAAGCTCTAGGAATAATGTCTATTCGAGAAGCCAGCTGTGGCAGAGACTCGGAAAGCTGGTACTATGCCGGACAAAGCATTCGTCTGGCTATCGAGATGGGCCTCCATCAGCTCGAGGAAGATGGAGATCATGACGAATTTGCGGTTCAGGCTGCAACTTTCTGGGGCGCATTCGCTCTCGACCAGTAAGCCCCCTTGACGATATCCTACACCATGTCTTGCAAGCTGATTTTCTCCTAGTGCATGGTCTTTGGCGACCGGCTCGCTTCCGCAATGTTCCTGCTTTCCTCATCTGCCGCCGAAGCCTGCCATAATAGATGACATAGAAGCCTCTCTTTGGATCCCCTACACCGACGATGGTAAGTCTTTAATAAACCTAGGCGAGGCTTCTGGCTCTCCAAGTGATAGAGGCTCAGGTTCATCGATAGGCGCACCATTGCAGCGGTCCGCCGAGCAGCCATCCAACGTTCGATCCGTGTATAAGTGCTTTTGTGAATTGAGCGAGCTCGTGCACCAAAGCCTCTACGTTTTACACTCACCAGGGCAGCCGCTGACTAGCCGTGATCTCCTCGGCATTTATACTCAGTACCTCAACTGGTATGACAAGATACCAGAGGTTCTGAGACTGGGGCACAATTACACGCCGGCAGTCCTTTTCGCGCAGTAAGATTATTCCAGAGAGAGAGGGAGATGACTGTGACACGCACTGATCAAATATCGCCATAGCATGTACTACCACTTTGCGATCCTGCTTCTTTTTCGGCCCCTGATTAAGCTGAAGATCGTTGGGTCTAAGCTGTTACCTCGAGACGTATGTGGCCAGGCGGCAGATGCTATTCAAGGCCTCTTGCGATCCTATTCGCAACTGTACACATTACGCCGGACACCGTCGTTTGTCCCGTACTTTGTGCTCACATCAGCCATTATGCATCTAGCCATCGGTGCCACAACCTCCTCGTCATTGTCGTTGCAGAAGGCTTTCGAAGGACCAGGTCCGGACAACACCGACGATCCACCTTCATATCCGCCTCGCGTTGTAGAAGCTATTCAGCAAGGGATCCGAGATCTAGAGGAGATGGCGCCGTGCCATCACTTTGCCGAACAGGCACTGAACATACTACGGTACCTTGCGAAGAAGTGGAAGATGGACGTTGACATGGGCGGCGAGGTAGCCTCGGATGCCGAGTATGCACATCTCGTCAGGCCGTACACAAGCAGTCTCAACTTCTTTGCACCAAACGTTATTGAAGATGACTTCATTTGCGCTTGGGGAGGCGGCGCCGATGCCGCTGATGTACCGAACCCGGCGGTAGCAATGGGGCTGAAACCCATGGAACCAGGACAAGCATCGGTTGAACGGGCGGCCAAGGTGCTGGAGAATCCTCTCTTCTGGCCCTTCCCGATGCAGGGGCGGCCGATGCTCCCTACCGGTGTCGAGCTAGCAGATGCTGGGTTTGAAAGAATTTGATGCGGTCGGATTGAAGACTCGAGCAATGCACCAAGACAAGAGGCAGTCATATCGAACCCATTCAGCTATAATATGGACCTCTGTGTATGAGTGGACTTGGGATCAAAGGCGGGGCCTCGTTCTGCCCGCACAGGAGTTTGGCCTCGGGCAAGGCATTTTGTTTTTGTGATACCCTACCATTTCCATTCGAGATGAAGACGACATTGTCGCTTTGAGGCAGGCTGTCTCGAGCCCCCTTCCAAGTACTTGTTGCAGCTTTGTTGACGAGTTGTCACTGGCACAAGAGTGCCTCGCTACCTTATATTGAGAGGTTCGAGAGCGCAAAGGCCAACCGCTTTGTGCAAATAAAAGGATGTTCCCGATGAGCCAAGGCCATTCAAGGTGTAAGGTATGCGACGTATCGTTGTCATGTTGTCGTAAGGCTCATTCAATGTCCATAAGGATGTGTCGATTTTGTAGAAATTCGAGAGTAGAGTCGCGATGTAGTATAAGTATGCCAGTAGATGGGCTCTGGAATAGCAGGGGTTGCCCTTACCGAGGCATGTAACGTAATCTTATTGGCCCAATGCGTTGGTTAGGCGGGTGATGATGCACTTTCCTATCTCATGCCAGCGACCCAGCGCAATTGCCTGAGGTGGCAGGGCCGGGAGATGGCAGGCGACCTCGGCTTCCCGTCGGTCGCCCGCGGGCTCAGACCAGCATGAGCAAATAGCAACCTACAGGCGCACTCCACGTCAGTCCCCGTCGCGGTGAGCGTGTGCCCCCCGAGGTCCCTGCAACTTTCCGTCATTAAACCATCCCACTGCTCCTGCGTCTGCACCTGAACATGCACCACCTCGACTCTGGCGTTTGTGAGAGCTTACCTTACCTACGTTAATACCTAATTCGCACTTTCGCCAACCACTTTCCCTTCCTTTCATACATCGTCAGTGTCATTGACAACCACTTCATCTTGACATCTGGCGCTCTTCTTTCATTCTCTTCGTGTTGACATATCCGCCGCGCGCTTTTCCTCTGTACTTGTTCAATCCCACCTCGGTTCAACTGCTCGGTGCGCGACCTCTGCCACGTCCTAATGATCTGAATCTTCCACCATGTCGACATCCGCCGATATCCCCAACAAGACGCGGCTATCGCATCAACCGTCAAAGATCCGCGCCGTTCTCTCATTACCGCCGCAGTGGCTTCACATGTACGAAGAGTTCATTACCAAGAACTCTAGTCAGGTCTCTCAAATAGAGTCGGCTTTGCGGTCCCTCACCTACATCATCCCTGGTAAGGCGCCTCTCCGTAGAAGACTGTTCTCGCTATCGCCGGCCTAACACTGCTTCAAAAGGTCGATTCCGCGACGCCGAGATTGCTTCCGAAACCGTCCATTCGAGTGTACAGCTCCTTTCTCTTTATCATGATACCCTTCTCATGCGCGCCCTGTCGCGCATCCCGATGGCCCGACTGCCATCCCCTCATGCCCGATATACGAAATACTGGACTCAGCGCAGTCCCATGTACCGGCGCATTGCCATGTTACTGCAAATGGTCACATACACACAGCTACTATGCGAGATGGCTGCCAAGAGGCGTGGTGGCGAGCGCAGTCGATGGCGCGTCGTTGTGCTCTTGGAGGCTATCAAGGCCATTTGCCGCCTGTTGCTATTGCGCGTAACGCGCTCTCGTCCTCTTGTGTCGCCCGTTCTCCCGGAACGCGAGCCGATCCCTGAAGAAACCGAGGCCGAAAGCGACGGTGCTCTGAAGGATATCTTGGAAGAGCAGACCAATGGGCACGCACCGGAAGACAGCGAAGAGGCGCAGAAGCCTCACGAGAAAGACTGGACGATGCCCAGGACTGGCATGAGTCTTCCCTCGCTGCCCAACGCTGGTGACATTAGCGGCTATCTCCTGGGCAAGGTGTTGACGGCAGAGGATATCAAACCAGCTGCAAAGCTGCTGAACCAGCTACAGGGCAGTGCACAGGCCGCAGAGGTACTACACATCCTCGCGCCGTTGGTGTATGCCATTGCTTTGTCGAAAAGCAAGAATAAGAAGTCATGGACACCCTGGCTCGTCGGCCTAAGCGTCGAATATGCAGCACGGCAACTCAGAGACCGGGGGCTCAGGACGACGCCACTCGAACGCGACGAATGGAGCAAGAGAGGCTGGGCCATGGGTTGGTGGACCATGCGCGGAGCATTCTATGAGAACATCATGAAGGGTGTTGTTGGCGGCGTACGATCTAGAGTACCCAACCTTGTCGGTGGCATTCTAGAGGACTACGAGTATCTGTGGGAGAACTACTATTTCAGCACGAGTGCCTAGGTATAGGCCACTTGGCGATTCACAGCGCTGTTTTCAGGCGGACTGGTTGGTGCCGTCAACAGCCCTAGCCTTTGCAGAGTATCTCCTGCATTTCTATGCAAATCAGGACTTGAATCATGGCGCCAGGAACCCTCCCAGACCGCCTCAAGCCACCGTCTAGGTCCCTCATGAGGTCCAGCGCGACAGCGAATCAGACTTGTGAAGGCTTTCTTTTTGCCGTGGCCACGCAAAATGCCAGGTGTTTGTGCAACTCTAGCTCCACGCATATCCGCCAACGTAACACCGTGCGTTGAACCCAAGCATTTCAGCTTCTTTGACGGGCGTCGTGGAGTGGAGAAATGCGGAGGGCTTGACATGCGGCTCTGAGGGAGGCCAGGAGCCAAGCCAAATCGTCATCGACAAAACGTTTCCGATGCGAATGTGCGACGTGTGCAAAGGGACCCGGTTTCGTGCAAAACCTCCGAATGGCTACCGGTACAGCGCTGTCGAGAGACTACGGGGGGTATCGTCCAAGACGATATTCGGGGACACGCCCAGGGGCCGTTTTGGCCAGGCTCGATATACGTGTGAAGCCGGAAGCAAGGAGGACTGCGACTCTGCGAGCCATGTTTCTGAAATACCCATTTTGAGACACTCAAGCCAGCCGCCATGGCGAAGGAATGCAATTCCGGTGCCACAGCAGTGGCGCGATGACGACTGTCGAGATATGTACATTCATCTGGTGTTCACTCGTTGCTGGAGAAGTCATAATTACGACCCCGATCCTCCATCTGCTGCAATGTTCGAAATAAGAGCGGCTATTGTCTACCCCGTATTTTAAGGCTGGTACGAAGCAGTTCGTTCACCATACGAACCCGACTGCCATGCAAGGGGGTGAAGAAGGTCAACTTTTGAACCCTCGAGCGTGGAACAGATACGGATAGATGATGGCTATCGGATGATGGTAGGATCAGTATGACTAGCTGTTGAGCCACTTTAACCATCTTAGGCATCGAATATGAATAAGTGTATCCCTTTTAATGCTCCCTTGTGTATCTGTATCCGTAGCCTCCAAAGACCCTTGTTCAGCCGAGCGCCGCTCCCAAGCGCCAGCTTGACACCAGCTGGACCAGGTTCTCTCTGCCCGTTCAGCTTCTCTCATCCCTATCTCGCCCGTTGGGCGTTTTACGTGATTCACAAAAGGCCAAAGAAGAACCCACTTACGCAGAACGCACGACACACCGCTGATCGTCGAAGAGGGACATCCGACGGGAGGACCTACAACAGTGAGTACCCATCATGCAGAGACGCAAGGAAAGGGCGGCGGCAGCAGCCCCATGTCTCTCTCTTTTGGGGGTAGCTGGGGTTGCTGGGAAAGCGGGCGCGCGGCGCGTGGCTTGTCGATCGTGGTGGTGTCAGTGGTTGATGCCTTTGGTGGTGGTAGGTCCCGGAAGGCGATTCCGTGGGAGCCGGTGGACGCTGTATATTTGCTTTTTCAAGTTGTTGTTCGTCAAGGACTGCTGTGTAGGGTTTAGCTATGACTTGGGAGCTCTGGACCACTGGACACTGGGATTTGATTTGGTGCCTCCGTAGCACTCTACCTAGCTAGGTGAATCGGGGTGGGCGGGTGTGTGATGGAAAAAAAATTCTTCACGTGGATCGGAATTTTATTTTGTGAGGATTGATATGTTCGTGATGGCTGGGGATTGGGGATGGTGAATGCCCGGGTTAAGGTTGTCACGTCATGCTGAAGCGAGGCTAGGGATAGTCGGGAGTCGGAATCGGATGGTGAGACTTGGGGTACCCAGGAGGTAGGGAGAGCATCGTGGCATCACATCATCAAGTTCGCTTCTCGGATCCCTCAGCTACGATCCGGGCAGAGGGAGGACTGAATAAGTTGGTGGTGGTGTTCCAGGTCCGAATAAGTATGATCAACCTAAGTTAAGGTAGTCCGTCCATCATCCGTCAGCATCTCTGGCAGGCTCCAGTCCGTCAGCACCAACGGAACGGGGGTGGGCTGGGCTGCTGCATGTCGGCAACTTTTTTTTGGCTCATCCCAAGCGCAATCGTCAGGCCCAGTCGATCGGGTCGTCATTCGTCACATTTTTCGGGTTTGGCGAGAGGGGGAAAAGGGAAGGGTTGCAAGGGGATGGTACGGACTACGGAGTAATGATGGGATGGGAAATATCGGTAGCAATTCAATATCAAGGTATTTGGACGAGTGCTGGTGGTGTGATATGTCACTGGGCACAGGTAGCCAAGCACAGCATTTTTTTGGAACGGGTGTTTTGCTTTGTCGTTTTGAGATTGAGGCAGAGCAGTGCAGAGCAGAGCAGAGCCTGACGTGAGATTGAGTCGTCCTATTTGATTACATTGCATCCTTTACGTATCAGTTGTGTGTTGGTGTTGGGTAGCAAAAAGGCAACGATGAAGCATAGAGCCGAGAGTGCAACTCGACATATTCGTACCTTTTACATATTGAGCTCAGGCAAAATACTCGGGCAAAGAGCTCAGGCAGAGAGCTCGGGCAGAGAGCTCGGGCAGAGAGCTCGGGCAGAGAGCTCGGGCAGAGAGCTCGGGCAGAGAGCTCGGGCAGAACCAAATCAACCTGCAATGTGCGGGCTACTACAACATCAACCAAAAACGCGAGCGTACGAGCCCACGGGAAGCGAGACTAAGACGACGGGTAAAAGGGCTTTATTATCAGGTCATGTCCACTAACCATTCTGAGCTTCTTGTCTTTGACGCGGTTTGCGAAAATTTGAAGTTCATCGTGGATCCATATTCCAGCGGGAATGAGCCCGAAGAGGTTGACTCGTCGAGGGGCAAATAGGAAAAAGCAAAAAGAAAGTCTCTCCTCAAGTAGACCAAAACTTGCTAAACTATGCTAAATCTCTTCTTAGAGCGAGATGCAGCACCTCCTTTTACGCCACTCGGCGCATCGCCCATTGGTCCGTCTTCCCCGGATCTTTGCCCATAGGTAGACGTCTCGGGGGCCTGTCCCTGGACCTCCTCCTGTCGACTATCGACTTTTTTGACAAGTCTTGCTTCGTCTATCGATCGTAGAGTTGTGGATTTTCCCTTAGTGCCGGCGGATTAGGTCCCAGTTTGCGGATAGGGCGTCATGTTTTTTTCAAGATCAACCACACCAACCACACACAAACCAAACAACCACTGACAACTTATACGGGTACTGTATAATAAGTAAACGGGGAATATAAGCAATCCCTGGGAAAGAGGGGTCTCCGCGTGCCGGGCCAATCCCAACGTGAGGCAGGGGTGGGCTTGCTGAGATGCTGCTGGTCGTGCTGGACGAGACATGAGTCTCAGAGGAATCTGCAACTCATCTGCCAGTCTCTTTCTTCATACGTCCGTACCGGGGGAGGCGTTTCTTCGTGTTCAACCGCAGTCTACAGATACTTCTGTACGCAGCTACTTGGGTATGGATACACAAGTACTCTGCGTGGTATCTGCGCGTGTAAGAGTGACGATTATGACATTGACAGCACATCGGAGCGGAGTCTGGACAGGAAAGCCAAGCCCCAGCAGCACGCAACGCGCAGCCTGCAGATTGTGGCAGCGGCACGACACCCACGACATACACACGCGCGCAAACAGGGGTGCCGGGGATGTCTCGATGCTCATCCAGGTGCAGACGTACTGCTGTAATGTGTCTCTCTAGAGGGAAGCATGGAACCCAACCTGGGTAGCCACGAGGTTGCGCCTGATCTGTGTAGGTGGCCGTGTTGGCCCAGGCCCTTTCCGCCTCGTCCGATGATGTTTGATGACCTGCAGCATATCACAACGCACGCCGCAGCATCCTGTCCTGCTTTCCCGTGCCGAGCGAGCCCTACCTACCTTATACCTATACATAGTAATGTGTATTCTGTACAATGACATAGCACTCCAGCCTCGGATCTTATCCTTTGGGTATCCGTACGGACACAACACTGGAGATAGCACTGCAAAAAAAGGTTCACTCATATCGAATCGATCTCGGCCCTGGCCCAACCGCCCGCTGCTCCCCTTCCCCCCTCTCCCGGATCACCCCTCCACTTCCCAACCCCTGGCTATTCACCTTGACCCTTGCCTTGGTCCCCTGGCCCTTCTCCCTGACCCCGGCCACCTTGTACTTTTTGGGCTCCAGTCTCCCAAGATTATCTACTGCACGCTATCATTGTGTCGTACGTACGGATACGTACCCGTACCCGGCTCTGGCTCTCCTGCGCATCCGCTACGCGTGTGTCTGCAGAAATTGGGCATCTTCCGTCCGCTGGAACCCAGCTTCACCAGTCACGTTGCAGGGCGCAGACGTACGCAGTATAGTGCGCATGTGCCTGGGTAGCGGCAGGGCCGACAAAAGCACGCGTGAGCGAACGACGACAAGGCAGAGAGATACTTACTGAAAGGGTGATGGGGGCCAGGCCGCAGAGAGACTCTGAGAGACAGAGAGAGTGTGTGGGTATCCATCCGTAACGCGCATTGCTTTTTCCTTTTCGCGATACTCTGAGACTAGGGCCAGCCACCCTGGGGGGTAGTTTCTCGCCTTGCCCTTCTTTTTCTTTTTGATTCAGGTGAGCAACCAGCGAGAAAAAAACCGCTGGATACCATGGACTGGTGGTGCTGGGGAATTGCGATTGGGTTCATTGGATGGTACCTTGGCTCTTTGAGGGATTCCCTCCGATCCCCCCGCTGCCCAGCGGTGGGAAGTTAGTCGTCCGTCCAGCCAGTAACCAAAATATCGTGAGCGACCCAGCGCAGGGGGCGTCATTCAATCCGGATCTCCTCCTACATCTCCCGTCCTTTCTTCACTACATTCACTTCCCGCTTGAACTCTTTGTACAAGTCTGTACATCACTTTCATCCACTCCCGGCACGCGCTGTTTGTCTGAGATCTATCTCTCCGCTCCATCGTACATGACCGACTCGCTTCCGCCCGTCCCTTCTCTTCGCCTCTCTCTCCGTACTTTGTGTTCCCTTTTCCATCTGCAGTTACCCGTGGGCGAGCAGCAGGCCAGCATCAGCAGCATCAATCAAATCATTTCCTAGCTGAAGATCCCGTGAGAAGAGCAAGCTGCCAGATACGTAAACGCCCAAGGATACAGGAAACCAGAACCCAGGGACCAGGATCAGGAAACGAAGCACGACCAGACAAGACCAGACCAAACCAGACATTTGGGGTCCTTTTCGTCCCCGGCTCTGCCGCCTTTTACTTCAAGCACCCTCCAGAAGCACAACATCTTCGCCCCCGCGTAATATGAGCCTGACAGTCTCCAATCGATTCGTCGGGCATCAGAATTCTCTTGGGGGAGGTGATTTTCATCCGTTTCCCTCGCCACATCATGGGTCTCTCATGTACAGCCAACAATGGCCACCAGCACGTCCGGCTGTCGTCCAGGCCCAGCCACAGGAACGCGAGACGCCTGCTGCTTCTTTGATACCCTCGCACAACAGCAGCGGCAGCGGCGGCAATAGCAGTAGCAGCCGCCAAGGCACGGGGCCTCCCCGTTTTGGTAAACCACCGAATGCTACTAGTGGCCCGGCCTCGTCGTCTGTCTCGGCGGGCATCACGAGAGGAGGTGCAGCAAATACCGGCCCTGGCGGCGGCGGGGATATTCATAGCCAAGGTGATACCAACGACGGCACATTTTCCGCCTCGGTAGCACAACAACAGCAGCCCGCTCCGGCTCCGGCTGCCGGGATCATCAACCCATTCGACCTATCCGCCGCCGAGCCCTCACAGCCGCGTCACGTTCTCGTCCGCGTAGACGGGGACACGGGTTTCTACCTCGGCAACGCCGTCGGCCGCCCGGCGCCGCAGGAGTTCTCTCTCCCGACGGAGGTGGATGGATCGCGGTCCGTGGCCAACGGAGACCAGATCCAGACCGGATGGAGCATCGACTACTACGGCCTCTCACGTAGTCGCCACGAGTATGGCAACGGCATCGGGTGGCGGTGCCAGGAATCGGAGGCGGTGGCGGACGCGCAGGGGAACTTTGGCTGGCCGAGGAAGTACGTGTGTTCCATGTGCTGTCTGCGATGGAACGCCATGCCTTTGCCCGCCAAAGTGATTCGGGGTGATGTCAGTCAAAAGGACCGGATTGGACTGAGGATAGTACGTGCCCGCTACACTCATTTCTGTTTCATGAGATGATGTCCCCAGTGAGAAGAGGCAGCAAATGCTTACAAGATGCGCAGCCAAATCCGGCAGATGCCCGGAGAGACCCCGGATTCTCTCGGCCGGGATGTTCAGAGGTACGTTTTTTTGAACGCACGCCGGTTTGGGTTTTAAGACAAACCCGTCTTAAGGCGAACTTTATGAGTTGACAAGTGCCGGGGACCCCCAGTTACACTACTACCTCGATCATGAAGGACCCGGAAACGAGCCGTGCGTCCGGGGCCTTTGTCAAAAGTGCCGGCCGGTGTCTTTCCTGCCGGACTCGCAGCCGACGACCCACTGTTGTCCGCCGCCGGTGGCTGAGCCGGGCTACCTCAAGGAGATTTACCGGTGCATCATGGACAACTGCCCGTTTCTGACAGACACCCGGC